TTCGTGCGTACTTCATCACAGCTTAAAATGAATCATTACATAAAATGCAATTGTATTTCATAAATCATATACCTGGTTTCGATCCAGACCATCCCTGTCTGCAGGGCAAGTCAAAGGCACGCGACCAATTTCCTGCCTGTTAAAGACATAACATAATAGGATAATAAATCAGCACCTGAGAACTTATTTTCCCCTATTCTCGGAATTCATTGTTAGAGGTGTGATTTCTTCGCGATCAATAACTCCGAAACGTTAATTGCGTCCAATGGTCACATCAAATCGCAGACATGGGTTCAATCAACATCTGTGAACGGGAAAGACTCAGTCTAACCAAATTATAGACCTATGCAGATACAATTTCTGATTGATTTGATACCGATTATTTTACTTGAAAGAAGTTAATAGATCCAATATATGCATTGCGCTTGACAAATGAACACTTTAACCTTCTCTAAAATGGTCCAAGTTTGATCCAAGTAAAAAAATTTATAACGGAACATTTGAAAACAGTATTCATATGATACGCTTGACTTGACCCGCAGCTTAATTCAGTAACAAGTAATCAGAGACCCAATTTCTGCTTCCTGAATTTCCTATATCTTTCACATCGACTGCTCTCGAAAGAAGAGGAAATACCCTTTAAAATGTGATAAACTCGCTACGCCAGAGAGTGCTTAAATGAACGAACGTTTCTTCGCTCATTAGTATTACTTTTGTATAAAGTAAGCCGCACCATCGAAAGTGTTCCTCGAGGCATTCCTTGCAGAATCTGTGCCCGCATCTTGTTTGAACAGGATCCTTTAGAGGCAGATGGCAAATTAAACACTGAAAATCGTCTTCAACCTCACTGACAAAGTCCTCATCATGGCCCGAAGGTGAATGGCGCCCTGATGCTTCCGCCATTTTGGAGACTTGAGCAGCATGGGTTCAAACCCGATTTGACTTGAAAATTAGTCCGTATTGATTGGTCATGAATCGCATTTAGAAATTATGACAATCACGCAAGTTGTGACATAGATTGTTTTTTTTATGTACAGCTAAAATAGAGTTCTCCAAGTGTGGAGGTTTGGCTAACTAGATTATTTATTTATCAGTTCTATCTGCTCGTCCACTAGCTTTCACTTCGTTCGATGCAAGTGAAGGCACTTTACGCTATTGAGGTCTCAATCGAGTTTTCTTTGAGTCATCCGTAGCGTGACGGATGAGACTTCAGTAACAGAGGAATAAATTTATAAACTCAATAGGAAACATTATGATAAGCAACCTAAGTGATCTTTTAAAATCATATTGAATCGTTACAGAGATGACCTCACTGACCGCCTTTCGATCAATATCTTGGCTTTTAGATGCATCAACACAGGTTTTTGTGGCTACTGCCTCCTACATAATCATCATATGGTTAATAATAGTTGACATAAGACGAACATCCTCTATGAGGGTTATGAACAAAGCTGAAATTTTTTCAATTTGGGCACGTGTCCAATTTTTTATTTTGAACACAAGGGTGCGATTTTTTATTTTGGACATTTAGAAATTTAGTGTTTGATTGCTGTCTACAGTGGATGTTTCTTTTGTCCGAGATATTATGATAATAGTAATAATCATCATCGTCTTCATCATCATTAACAATTATTTACCAAAGTGGAGATAAATATCCGCCTCCTTCATGGACACTGAGATCAATATTAGTTTGAGTGTATACTACTCAGATACCATAAAACTGTTTCTTTTTTTCTCAATACCGTGAAATGGTCGGAAAATAAACTTTAGATGCCGCCTCTTCGGCTGCTGTGAGGTGAATAGTTTTTGCTATTCACTTCCGAACTAGCCAACCAGAGCGCACGAAAAGCACTATTCACTTGTGAGGTATATACCAATATGTGATATTTCAAGAGCGCAAATTGACATGGGCATGTAATCAAATGGTATTAGCTGTCAGCCACAACCATTTGACTTAATCATAATCATATGAATTTGACATCGGTGATAAACAAAACTACATGTATTAGTATTTGAACATTTTCTTACCATCAAAACTAATTGGCTACTCGATAACCTCTCGCACATTTCTGTATATATTTGACTGTCAACTATAATTTTTATTTTTTACATACATAAGCCCTTTTCTCATTTCTACCTGTTTTCTTAAGTTGAAGATGTTTAGTCCCGTATAATGTCTATGAATATTTTGCTGACCACCCCAGTGGCCTTCTTTATGTCTTTCTTGCCATTAGCAGGAGAATTCACACCGAAGCTCCACAAGCTATTTTTCACGCGGAATTTTTATTTGAATTAGTGTTTTTTAAATGTCCTTATTTGCTAGACGTAACCACTGTTGATTAATTGCATTTAAGTAAAACAAACTTAACTTAAAGTGCTTTTTTGTTTTGTAACCAATAGTAGAATAAAACGTATCATACTAGTGCAACGTCTTTTAATGGAACAAATCTATCAGTCACGGCTCCAACATTCCTGGTCTTTATTTCTTAACTTGAACTTACTTTGTCTTTCAATGGTTCTTAAGGACCCCCTGGAGCAGCCGGACCAGCTGGAAACAAGGGATCCCCTAGAATGAAGGTGAACGGCAAGTTTAACTCTATAGATGAAGACCTAATAGATGTTATTCTTAAACCAATAATTTCAAGGATGCTGTTTAAGGTTAGCGAGGGTGATGATAGAAAGATGAAAGACTTACTTTGATCAAACCCAAGCTTACTAGTCCGTTACGTTGCGGACGTTTAGCTATAGAGAAAGCTCTGTGAGTTACATGGTGTGTGTACCCAGTTTAAAGGCTAGGTTTCGGTTGTGGTGCCTCGAAGTACTTCGAAGAACCGACTGAGAAGTGATTGTGAATGAACTTAGAATTCTCGCTGTCAGCCATATCCTCTCGGGAATTGTATTCTTGGTCAACTTTCAGTGCTGTAAGCTTAGGGTCAGCAGAAAATCTGTCACAAGCGCTGACTTAGCTTTTCCCTTAACAGCCTGTAATTTACATCACTGGTAGAAAGGGAAGAAGACCAGTGGTTATCCACAGACTCCTGGCATATTTGTCATTTCCGAAAGTATCAAAACAGATTGATGTGTGAAATATAAACCAAGTTTATTGGTTCCCTAGCAAATTGTTGTGTTGCTGACGCAGCACAGCACTACCAACTTAAAATGATTGGAAAGTGCACTAAGAACGTAAAGTTGGGTGATCATCACAGTAAAAAGTGGGAGAAGTAATCCCTAAAGACTGCATTTAAGGTATCATCCATCTATTATCCAATAATTCTTCACAGTAAAACTTGCATTATCGTCTTGTGCGCATAATGGCGCATACTATTCGTAACATGGGACCGGCTCCTTAGAGGCTAGCAACAAATTTGGCTTCCCCACCCTTCCAAAGTTCTTATGCCAAGAGCAACGTCGGGTCCCCAGATTTATCCTCAATCTTATTGCGGTGCGGCAATCAATGCAGTCTGGAATATCATACTATTGAATTGCAATCAGCATATTAGGATACAGTTTTTTTTCTAAACTTAAACAGATCTATGTATGCAATTTATGACCACTTTAATTAATCCAAATATTAAAAGATTTATAGTCTCATTCGCTACCATTCTGTAGTATTCTAGTCCAACATCTCCGTGTCTCAGAATTGTGTTCAGGTGCGCGGACAAACCTCCACTCGAAGAAACATGGTGTCTTCAACAAGGTACTGTGATGTCATCAGATTCTTATGGGATATAAATCTCCTACTGCCGATGGTACTGATGTAAGCATCTGAATTCGGTCTTTGAATAGGACGATTGATGAAACGCTCGGACACATTCATCCTGTCTTTTTTTTCCGCGAAAAGGCCATGACAGTATGGCGTCGAAATCACCTTTCATGACACGTAGGAATACAGAAACGTAGGTGTTTCTTTTTTAATGATCTCCATCAGGTCGTAAACAAATCGAAAATTTGTAACCCTGTAACCCTGAAGGAAATTCTATGGGCTAGGGATCTAAAAAAGGCTGCCAAATGGTGTGAAGAAAAGTATTGAGGCTAAATTACATGCCTAATATGATTTTCATGTTTTCACATGTTGATCATTATTAGCAAGTATTTCCTCTGACGAAAACATTGCTAGAGTTAAACACTTGCTAAATTTTTGCATCTGTAATTTAACACAATAGCTGCCACTGTCACCAAGAAACAAATATCTTTTAACTGAATTTCAACTCTGGTTGACTTTATTTTTTTAAAAATGTGTATATATTTAAGTAAGTTAGTTAGTTACTTATTCATTTAGTTATTCATTTAGTTATTTACTTATTCAAGTCTTTTTGTTTTGATTGTTCTGAATGTTATTGCTGTAAGAACAATTAGGAGAAGCCTATCTTAGACAAAACCTTTTCATAAATTTTCCTTGACCAGAGCTATAAAGTCAGTGAAGAAAATTGTCATCTAATCAATTCATCTAACAACTTAAGGGCAATCTTCAGGCTCTACATGTACATCACTGGACTTGGCATAGCCAAAAGGCTAAGAAACATTGCTGAGAAACATATTGTGACTTTGTAAGTTTCTTGCAACCTAAACTACAAGGTGAGGCCTTCATCACTAGCAAGAAAGGTTATGTTATAGGACAGTATGTTCTTAAGTAGGGAAACTGGTCACAACTATTGTGTATAGGAAGGTCCTCAATTGAAAAAAAAAAGCCAGGTGGCTCTTGTTGTCATCCCCATCCAGCAATACACTGCTTGAATATCTTCACAAAAGTAAATACTGGGAAAGAGCACAACCTCCCCTTGTTGTTTTACTAGCCCACTGAATCATTCTCAATTCAATTTTTTTTCATTTAACCCCTATCCCCTTTATTCCTGACTTCCCCTAAAGGCTACACATTAAAGGGGCCAGTGATGCCATTAGTCCTGTTGTTGTTGGTCTCCTTGTGGTGTTGATGTCCAAGCATTTTTTAGCATTGACAAGTAACATTGGAATTTCTTGCTTTGTAGCTACTTCATGCAGGATTTGGCCGAGTGAATAAAAATCACTGGCTTTGCTACAATAGGTGCCATTCAGAACTTCAGGAGCAATGTGCCTATAGTGGAAAGTGTACAGGGTCACAGGCCTTTCCAAAGTCTATAATTTGGCCATGTTTATCAGTTACAAGAACATTGTTTGATTTGAGACCACAATGAAGAATGCCTTTGGAGTGAATGTGAGCGAGAGCATCTGTGATATCATGACAAATGATCAGCCAATCTTTGCTTGTCGGTGAACTGTTAACTCTCTCTACTATACCATTGGATTCTTTGCAATGCAATAGTTAACTGACTGTTGTGGATGTATTTTCTTTCCCTTTGAACTCCATCACTAGAGATATAGGCTCTCTTTCAAGCTGGAGTCCTATTATTGCAGGAATGTTTTTATGTGTGAGATTCTGCATGATTTGTGCCTCCTTTACCATCTCTTTAGTGCTTTGCATCAGACATTGTTTTTCTACCACAAGAACGTTTAATCTTGTGAAAGATTTTAAAATGCACTGGCCATATGAACCCTGTCCTAGTATTAATTCCTTTTCACTGATTGGTTGAAGCTCAGATGGATCAATTAAATTAACAGTGGCAAATTTGCTACTGGGTGGTCCTGATTTTGTATTCCTGTCTCTAATCTGGAATAAAGTAATATTTTATTTTATAAACAGAGGAAACGTGAAGCTGGTCAGCTTAATAAGATTCACATGCTAGATTGTGTAATAAGTGGTAATAGGACTGAGTAGTCTTTGGTCTGTAATCATATGAGTGATAACAAAATCAGACGCCTGCATAGTGGGAGTACAATTTGTTTATCGCGAGTATGATTACAGACCGAAACGAATGACACAAAGTCCTTTTACCAATTAATCGTAAAAATTACAATTTCCAAATTAAAAAGAACACTTAAATATTGTCATTGCTCAAGGGAAACCAATTCTCCGTTTTGAAGAAAGCCCCAATTTAGGAATCTGTACACTGTTTCTATGGTGATTGAAACCAAGGTTGTGATTGATTGATTTAAACTACAACTTTGAATGTAATTGGTTGACTTAAACTACAACTTTGAATGTATTTGGCTTATTGAACTGTCCAACAACAACTTGGCAAGTGAATTAGTGGAAAATAGGAGTTTTTTTAAAACTAATCACAATCGAGGAAATTGTAATTCCTATGTTAATAGATTTATTGGTAAACTTTATCTCTTTCATATAACAAAATGCGGCTCATTTGCCTTCTTTAAGTCTCCTTGTATCCTAAACAACCCCAAGTATTTTATGTATTCATTTTAGACTTAACTCTAACACTGTTGATAGAGATACACAGAGGGTAGGCATGGTTGCCACAAACAGAACTTTCCAAAATTCCCTGACTATTAAGGCACTGACCTATCCATGATAAAAATAAAATTTCCTTAATGAAATGGATACAAAATGTCCAGTCTCCTCTTCTTCATTAAAACATTGCTGAGATCATCTGAAATATTTCTTCCAGCATGGTATGAAACTCATGATCAGTGGTGTAAAAACTTTAATTTCCCTGACTTTTCCCTGACCTTGAAATTTCTATCCCTAGCCATTTTTTGATCTGTGGTAACCTTGGTAGGGCAAGATCAACACTACATAGCAAGATGGAAGGGAAAATGCTCAAAGCTCAATGACCGTCCTTTTCAGGCGAAAGTTTTGCCTGTCTGCTTGGCAGATAGAAATGAATGAATTCCCGCTAAATCATTTCAGAATGTGGCAATTTCAAATGGGGATTCCTTGCCTTATTTTACGAAAATGATTGTAGTTTTTTTTCATTTCATCATAAAAAGGAGACGAATTTTGAGGGCTACACTCTCCCCTCCCCCTATGAGTTTATGTTGAAGTCAACCCCAGGACGTTTTGTACTATGCAAGACAATGCTAGTTTGATTACGTTCAGCTTCAGTTCGGTGATATCGTTATTTGTAACCAACTGCTCAATTTCTGATACCTATTTTATTCTATTTTGACGCTAACCGAGTACCTACCTTGGTTTTGTCCAGGGTCTTTTTATTCTGTTCGACTAATGCTTTGCCATAATACATTCGCGCCAATCCCTTAGCGCGAGAATATGCATTTCTTTCCTTTTGTGTTCTCATTTCTCTGTTCTCCCTTTCCCTAGCCGTTCTTGACAATCGTTTACGTTTCCTCCTTTGATTTCGCATCCTGCGTTTTTCTTCGATTGTATTTTCCCGAGATCGTCGTGGCATGATTACTTTGCCAAGCACGCGCCAAGCGCGCGCTTTTTGTTGGCGATCGCCTTCGGTACTCGATTCCCTGTGGCTGAGTTTGTGCCCGCGTTTCCGTACCGATATAATGTTGTAGAAAATTCTAGTGGACAGCGGCCTATCTGAACGCGATAAAACGATAAAAATTAACCGGAAAGCTTTGTTCGCAGTGAATGTACAACTACGAAGAATTAATGTGGATGAAACAGGGTACAAGGTTTATGCAAGGACTACCAGAAAAAAAAAAGCAGTTGAAATCCTCCAAGTGTAAAGTTTTTTTAAATGTAAAATGCATTTTCCACGCATTTCAATATCACCCGACCTGCCACAGACTTCTGGTCAGATTTATTTGTTATTCTCTCATCGGTAGTAGTACATCCTGTGCCAATTACGTAAGTGGAAATCATGTTTATTGACAAAGTTTGACAAGCGATGACGTGTCATTGATGCCTAACATTCCCTCATCGGAAAATTGAGACATGTATAGGTCTGTTGGTGTTCTGGTTCACTTTCAGTTAAACGACATTTCTGTCAGAAAGTGACGAGATTATGACGCCTTGGGAGGTACTTACAGTGCACGCGTTTTCCGTCCTCTCATGATGTTACAAAAGCGTTTAGCGTTTGAATTATTTTCTAAAATTCACCCACCTCCCCTTCGTATTAAAAAGAAACCCTTTTTTGCAAGCAAAACTATTTGAATCGTTTCCAAAATTTCAATAAAACGACGTTGTGATTCGCAGTTTCTCGATTCAGCCTTATATATTTTTTTTTATGATTCCCAGGTAGCTTTATGCTAATTTGATAAAGTGTTTTCTAGGAAATGAGAGCAAACTAACTCGTGTGGTGGTAAACAAAATATGCTCTTAACGAATTGTTTTGGAAACCTGTGTATGGAATTTCAACAGACAAACTTCTCGAAGTCACTGCCCCTAGCGGAAAACTGATACTTTGCCGGCAAAGTTTTGCTTAAAATTATTATTGGCATGCGTCATAGTGTGCTTTCTCTCTCTCTCTCTCTCTCTCTCTCTCTCTCTCTCTCTCTCTCTCTCTCTCTCTCTCTCTCTCTCTCTCTCTCTCTCTCTCTCTCTCTCTCTCTCTCTCTCTCTCTCTAGATCTAGAGGCACCACTTTTGTAACCTTTTGTCTCTTAAGTGATATTTCGTTGAGGAATGCAGAAAAAGTCGCAACTAAAGCATGGATGGGTGTATCAATGTTTTGTTCGCGTTATGTTAAAATATCACAAAATTTAACGCATTTTACTGTTTTTTATTCACTTTTCAAACGTGAAATGTAACCTTTGTGGCACCCGTTGGGGTAATTGCGCATTTTAAAGGGTAATTGGCGTATTCCACGGCAACTAATGGATAGATCGATTGCTAATACACAGCACTAGATTCTCTCAACTACCCTCACAAATTTCAAACCAGTTTTCTGAGCGTTTGAAAAAATCAGGTAAATGTGTACGCCCTTTCATCTGTGGTCAAGATTGGCAATTCAATTTAAGCCCTTGAAATGCACTTTTGAACTTGACAAGTCCACTATGGCTATGTTATTCAACATTTCCTGCTAAAATTTTTGTGACATATAGTTCCACGTTCATTATTTATGCTTACAAAGTTTCAGCTTTTTAGCTTGTTTTCGTTATCCTTGGCAACCATTTAACCAACATACACCCTTGACTGTACTGCGGGTTACAAGAGTGCCACTTTCGCTAGATTTTTCTCAAAGGGAAATTCCCATTTAAAAGCGTCGAAATTAAATAAACTCTGGTACAAACAATCGCCGTGCTCTGTGCTTACTGTTACATTTATTTTAAGTCGGTGGATTTAATTTTCTAGTGCTGGGATCAACCAAGTTGATCAATTAAAATTTTTACACAAACCACAGTTAAACCATACGAGTATATACACTTTATTAAGTAGACAGTAGGTGTAAAAATTAAATTTTCACCGATGCTTTTGAACGTGAGAACCTTAAGAAATGTAGAAATTGTTATTTCTTTCATGAAGATTGTGTTTTTAATAGACTGATGTATTATATTCCTCCCATGGTCCCCATTTATACCGTCCGTTAAATTGTGTTCCTTCTTTTTCGGTCGTTTGGGATATCGCGCTATAACGGAAAGGAAAATATCAAGCTGGCTAGTAACAGATTAACCTCGCTAATTTGAAAAGGAATAGATGGGCAATCCTTAAATGGTAGGAAAAAATCGTGATTTTAAGCGACTTCCATGTAGTATGATAGTAAGGTTTCAAGCCTGTATAATTTCGGAAACCTTTTTTTTCTCACCCATTACCACGTGGATCCGCCAACCTCCCCCATTTTAGGTGACTTTATTTCGCTATTCCTAACCCTGTCCCTAGCCTGAGAGTGAGTCTGATAATCGCTTTATCTTGGCCTCATTTCATTTCAATAATCAGAGCACGGTTTCGACATGTAGCACAAGCATCGTCCATTCCAAAGAGCGTGGTTACAAATGAAATGTTTAAAGTTGAATCAAACGTTTGCGAAACTAACGGGGCCCCTACTTTACGCTGACTTTTACAGTTTCTTACTCAGCGATGGATTATTGGTAAAGATGAATCGCTTAGTTTGGGTTTCCTTGTGCTCGGTTCAAGCTGCGAGATAATCGTAAACTACACAACGACTCTTTAATCTGATTTCAGTACAGGAAAACGGTATTACCTTTCAACTGGGCATAATTCAACTACATTTGTTCTTGTAGGATACATAATTGTTTTATACTCAATGACATGAGTTTACCACCATCATTGAGAGATGGGTATTCAAAGTGAAAGGTCATCCGCATCCAAATAACGGAAAAAAAAAACCGAAAACAAAAACAAACTAACAAAAATTACTTCCAATATTAGGGTGTAATCTTCACTGCCTAAAGTTTCATGTCTTACTATGATCATAGTGATTTACTATTTACCAACACAACTTAAGTAAAGTGTCCCTCTATTGGTCAATTCAGCGTCTACTATTTGCTCGTGGGTGACCGCTGACGATTGCCTTCCGTATGAGCAGGCGCGCTGATGTGGCGCGACATAGCGCAAACGTTCAAAGTCGAAAAATGAAAATGCTGCTAATTCACGAGTTTTTATACTTTACTTCGATTTGCTTGTGGAATTGAGTAGCCACCTATGGAATACCCTTGCGATACTGAAAAATTGGAACTCTACGATATGTCCCATATTATTCCAAAGCTTGACTCCTTTCAAGTTTTTGTCAAGGATTGCGTAAGAACTACACGCGTTAAACTGAAAAAGCTGTGTTATAGAACAGATGGTACCAAAGCCATGGCGTTATAAGAAACCGAGAGAAAGACGATAAAGAGCTGGGAACAAGAAAGGCAGTCAATGACTCTAATGAATGTGAACTCGTAACAGCTGCCTCCCTAGGTATGAAACGAGCTCCCCGGAAAGAAGAGTCGTTACAAGCACTGCAAAATTTATTTGCAGAAGAAATATCGTTGCAAAGCGTCACCATGTCTTTGTTTCGAGAAAAGATCCAGTCTGACCCGATATTGTGCAAAGAAAGTCCAATAAGAGTATACGGCAGGATCCGTGCGGAATGGCGTCACAGTTCGCAAACAGCCTGGTAAGCTGATGAGATTACTTCATTACCAATTGAGGAAGAAATTGTGCCATTCGTGTCGGTAGAATGTTTGAAGACACAAGCAGCCATAAGTCTGAAATTTGGGTACCCACGAATACGACTGAAAGATCCAAAGGCATATTTAGCGAAAACCATGCTAAAAAACTGATTTATTTGTTTCAAGACATGATTGAAGGAGCGCCTATTTCTAAGCCTGCAATTTTGAAGCGACTGGCAAACAAAGAACTGGATAATAAGCTGTTTAAGGATTATACGGTAGCTTAAATCGTAAGCAGGCTCAAGTATGGGCGAAAGCGTAAGCAGTCCAACAAGCGTCTCGTTGACAACTAGAAAAAAAAAGAAAATGTAGACAAGGTAGTCCAAAGAGGACAGCGGTTTTACCGTTGTTCATACTTTTGGAAACCGAGATGGTAGCGAATAATGAGTTGAGTTTGTAAATTACTCCCTTCCCCACCCCTCTATGAAGCGTTAAACCGCTTTTTAAGGGCGTGCGCCATGTGGACATCTACATTATATTGTATGGGAAACGTTCGGATGCGAGTTTTCAAGAAAGTCAGATTGTCTTGTTCTTAGTTGTCGAGCCCACAAGACTGAAACATTGGACATTGGCAAACTTGTCGTGTTTGCTGAGTAATGCGTTGAGTTTGTCAGTTACTGACTACCCACTCGACCGTGTGCAGCGTTACGTTATTCCAATTCAAATAGTAGTTTCGAATATTTAATTTGTATTTGGTTAAAATAAAATATCCGCAGTAGGAGGACAAATTCCCTTTCTTCCCTGTCTGCGTTTGGGGTAAAAAGATGGTGTAGCCAGTAACATCAATGAAGTGGGTGTACAAAAGAGAAAACGAGATCAATAAAAATAAACTTTACTATCATCTCGACGACTTGAAATAGCGAAAGGGATTTCATTTCAAAAGAAGCAACCGTCCTTGTCTAGGAATAATGATATGGGAATCATGAAGTAATCGATAAACCTTATGCATGATGATGTCATGTACCAAAAAATTCACCACCAAGCCTCACTAATGCACTTTATTTGTTGCGAATAACAACGATTTGTGGCTCTTACAGGCAAAACTGTGTAGAAAAGGCCGCCATTTTGTTGTATTTGCGTGTGGTAAACGACGTGTACATTTTGCCTCGTAAGGTTGCACAAAGCAATATTGAGGAGTCCTTTTATGGCGATTAAATCTGCAGACAATAGTTCGGCCTTGCTGCATGGGTTAAGGAAGCCTTTGCTTTTAACGATAAAATATGTCTTGCAATGTAGTGTCGTAGAATATCTGACAACATTAATACATTCATCTATTTCTGATGAAAAGGGAACGATGCAGTTCCTTTCCTCTGAAGTGTATGTTT